TATTACGTCTAACGATTTTGTTGGTGCCCTTGATAGAGTAAGAATCAAGGTCTTTCTTTCCAGGTTTAGTCTTAGCCATCAATCTTTCAGCTCACTCTTCAAGAATGAACAAAACCCAGCAATAAAGACTCAATTTTTATTTTCTTTTTTAAAGTGAAAATGAATGACCAACTAAAGAAAATTTCTTGGTGATGACAACTGTAAAAATGGAAATGGGGTAACAGTTGAAAAACTCCTTTTTAGTTGAAAAAGAGGAGCAAAAACCCTAGTTGCTGGAAAATGGGGGGTGGAGAGTAGAGCATAGGACTGGGAGAGAGAGAGAGAGAGAGAGAGAGAGAGAGAGAGAGAGCGCAGGAGAAGGGTCGGAGACACAGAGGTTTTGTTCCTATACGTGCGACAATTTAGGACCGTGCGTCCAACCCCTGATTCAATTGTATTTATGAGATATTTGCACTTTTTACCTATAGGGTTTTTATAATATCGAATATTCCCGTTTGAGTTTTCTAAAATTATTACCCTGGACCATTTCATATTAGATGGATTGAGAGGTTAATGTGTGTCTCAAACTCCTAAGCATATTATATAAGGAAAACTGACACTAAATTTGAGCGTTTTAAGAATATTCCCTTCAGGGATTAATCCTTTACAATATATGAAACTTATAGAAAACATAAGAGAAATATACATTATTACGATAAGGAGCGGTCCGACGAGTTTTGTGGCCTAAAGCCAAGCTTTACGAAGGGCCTTCATTTTTTTTTAAAAATATTTATTATTTGAAGTCTATTTTTCTAGCGTTTCTTAAATACAAAGTTATTAGTAATATTCTTATAATCAATAACTCCTAATAAGTCTTTCTTAGTTGACAATATAATTAATCCATTTAACCTTTCTTGAGACATTGTTGATCTTAGGTAAGATTTTATCAAATTTAATTTTGAAAATTTCTTTCAGCTGAAGCAACGGTAACAAGAGTTATTAACATTATTCCATGAGTAATATAGGCATTGGAAAAAGAATCAAATCTTTTTATTTGACCGAGTGTATCAATTAAATTGTTATCTTCTAATTGTATTATTTTTCTTAATATTTTTAATTCCGAAAATAAATCTAAACTATCAATATCAAATTGATTATTATGCTTTAAGGAACATTCAAGATTAAGGCAGTATTTCCTCAAATTTCCATTATATAGTGATCTTAATTTTTACGCTAACTAGAAACCAAAAATATTTTCATATGTTTCGAATTGGTCAAACCTATTTTGAAGTAAAAAAATAGCTTTGTCTACTATGTATAAAGTAATCAACTCCAAAGGACTATTCGAAAGATTTTGAGATTTTATTATCAACATTCTTATTAAATTGTTACTTCCTATATATTATACGTTTCTTACGAAATTCGGGTTCGATATTTATTTCAAGAGCAATTTTCGTGGCAGAAATCATAGCAATTGCAAATCCTTCTTCTCTATAATTGTTAAAGAAAAAAATCAAACATTTTCACTTAACGTAACATTTTTAAAAACTTATACATAACCTATTAGGTGTAAACAAAAAATGGAATCCCCACAAATGTGGGGCCTAAAGCAGATTTACTTGCTTTATGGATTGGTCGCCCCTAGTTACGATTCGCCACCCCCCACAAGGTTGTAAGTATTTGAAATTAGCTTAATATTGTTCAATTACACCTTAAATGATTATATTTTGTCTCTGGTAAAAAATATACCGCTAAAAAAGCGACAACAAAAATATAAATAAAAGACAAACATATTTAATACATATACATAAAAGGGTCAAAAATGACCTTAACGTATTGGAAATGGCTCAAGTATGCCATCCTTTCACCTATTGGACCATAAATGCCTTTAACGTTAATTTTTTTACTACAAATGCCCCTCCTTCTAATAGAACTATGACATGGCATACGTGGGGCTTTACATTAAATACGTGGCACTGATTTATTGGTACACATAAAGCTATCAAACCCAGCACAAATAACCCCACCCATTTAGACTAACCTTAAACCCAAGACATTTTATCTCAAACCTATTTTCCATCTGAAGATTGAAAGCCATTGTCACAAAAGGTTGAAATTCTCTTGCACGATAAAAGAGAAGGTTTAAGAAAAATTTAGAGTTATACCCTTTTAAATTTTTATATTTTTCTTCTCTTTCCTTTTTTTCTTTTGTTTGAAGTGATTGTATTTTATGTTGTTGATAAATTATAGATACTTCAATTTGGTTTCTAATTTAGCGACGTATCTTTTAATTATTGGAATATCCAAGAAGAATAGTAAGAGGTTGACATCCCTTAATATATAAACCCTCTCACTATATGAGTAAAAATCAAGCGTAAGTTCAATTCAATAATTTATTTACTCATTCATAGTATTAAACATTTGATCTCACGTTTATTCATGAATTTTTCTCCGGTATGTATATTCATGAATTGTAAAATATAAGCGATGGAATGTAAAATTAGAATGAAGGAAAAAATGGGGAAAAACAGTGATTGGAAGCTACAAAAATGGATAAAGATTCACCATTCATAGCGATAAAAAATCTTTATCATCTCCTTAAAACTAAGTTAGCATAGAAAGAAAACCCCTTTAGCCCATCGACAAGTGACAACCATGAAAAGTCTCCATCACTTTTTGAGTGTTGTTTAGAGATAAAGAGGATTTGGTTTTGAGGAAGATGAATTATTTTTCGAGAGGGGTTGATTTTTGGATTAGTCTTGTGTTATTTATGTTGGGTCTAATATCTCTATGTGTACCAATAAACCAGTGCCACCTATTTGATAAAAGCCCCACATATGTCGTGTCATAGTTCTGTTAGAAGAAGGGGCATTTGCAGTCCGAAAATTAACGTTAAGAGCATTTATAATCCAATAGGTGGAAGAGGGGCAAATTAGAGCAATTTTCAATACGTTAAAGGCATTTTGACCCTTTTCCGATAAATATATTACAAAAGTGGAGTAAACTTAAGCAAATGAAACTAACGATTACAGATATAAAAGAAATAATGATGCTCTTTGATGTTTACTCGAAATTATGATATGATTGTATGTATATATGTGAATAATAGAGCAATGTCATATATTAGTGAAAGTGAACAAACATATGGAATTGCCTGAAAAATATTAAAACGAAATAAAACTTCAAAGTTTATTTCTTTTGGTACATTTCAAAGTCATCTACTACGAGTCGGGCTCTACAATTGTCTAATCCATCCAAATTAAGTAAAAATTGTACGGTCTAGTCATTTTGTATCAATTTTTGAAAAATAATTTGTGTTCGAAAATTTGTTGAAAAACAATCACTTTTAACAACGAAACACCATAATAAGTATCGTGGGTTTTGAACGAATTTTAAATATACAGATATTTTCAGTTACTAGTCCAAAAATAATTATTTTTGTAATTTCGCCAAATTAGCGGGTTGGACTGAAAAAATATTTATTAACTCGCCGATCCTAGTAAATGCTTTTTAAAATATCTTTATTCAATTAAAAGATTTTCTTTTGTTTAGAGATTAAACATATTATAAACTAAATGAACAAATGAAGAATAATATCGAGTAGAACCGATTAACTTAAATTGACAAATTAATTTACTCAAGTAAATTCGAAATGAGTTTAGTCATAATTCATTCCGTATAAATCCACCCATTTGACATCTTTAGTCAAACATAAATTGACTAGGCGTAAATAGGCAACCTCGGAGCACGAATAGCATGAGATAACTTGTCTGTTGTGGGCCCATCTTGTGAACATGTGGGCCCTTTGACTAATTGATTTTATCTTTTAGTCCCACTATTATGTATTATTGCACTATTCCTTTTCCTCGCCATATTTTCCTTCTTTCTTAAAAAAATTTAGCTCATATTTCCCCTTATCACTCTCCATAGTTCAAAATTCTAGGGTTTTGCAAAATTCAAATTCCGTCCTGTTCTTCTTCAATTCGCCGATGGTCAACTCCGCCCGCGGCAAATATAGCGGCAAAAATGTATTGTCAATTTCCGGCTTGGGAATTCGAGCCATTTCGATAGCTGATTTGAATTTCTTCATTAACTCTTCAAAGGTATGACTTAAGCCTATGGTCTGTTTCAATTTATAGGAAATTACTTTTGTGCCCTTCCATGGCCTTACTATGGGATGGACAAATTCCGATTTGAATCCACAGAGTTGCAATTTTTGTGGCTTTTATATGCACATTTTGTGTAGTTCAAGTGTTGGTAGTATTTTGTTTTTTGCTTGGGGTTTTTGTAGACATGTTTAAGCAGATTTTAGGGAAGCTTCCTCGGAAGCCGTCAAAATCATCATCATCATCATCTAACAGTGACTCGAATCATAGTGAAGTTTCAGCATTCTCATCAGTGAACTCAAATTCGAACTCTAATAGTAGTAATAAATCAAAGGGCTCGGGAAATATAGGGAAAATGTCGAATTCAACAAGTTCCGGTGTGTCTCAGCTTGCTAGCAATGGGAATCATGTCCCAGTGAAGCCGAATCAAGGGAAAAAACCTTTTCGGGTTAATGAACTGGCTGGAACCTCTGTTATGAACTCCATGTTATCCTCCTATGAGGTTCTTCCAAGTTTTCGAGATGTCCCAAGTTCAGAAAAGCAAAATCTTTTGATTAAGAAGTTGCAAATGTGTTGTGTACTGTTTGATTTTGGCGACCCTACGAAGAATCTGAAGGAGAAGGATGTCAAGAGGCAGACATTGCTTGAACTAGTTGATTATATTTCATCTGTGAATTCCAAGTTTAATGAAGTTACGATGCAAGAAATAACGAAAATGGTTGCTGCCAATTTGTTTAGGACATTTCCCTCGCCGAATCATGACAATGGGCTACTGGATATGTTTGATCCGGAAGAGGATGAGCCCACTATGGAACCCTCGTGGCCTCACCTTCAGGTTGTTTATGAGTTTCTTCTGCGATTTGTGGCTTCATCAGAGACGGATGCCAAGCTTGCAAAAAGATACATTGACCACTCTTTTGTCTTGAGATTGCTTGAACTGTTTGATTCAGAGGACCAACGAGAGCGGGAATACTTGAAGACAATTCTTCATCGCGTATATGGAAAGTTCATGGTGCACAGGCCATTTATCAGGAAAGCCATAAATAATATATTTTACCGCTTTATCTTTGAGACTGAGAAGCACAATGGAATAGCAGAACTATTGGAGATCTTGGGCAGTATAATCAATGGATTTGCTCTCCCTTTAAAGGAAGAGCACAAGCTTTTTCTTGTCCGTGCACTGATTCCCCTTCACAAACCTAAATGTGTAGCCATGTATCACCAACAGCTCATGTATTGCATCACACAATTTGTGGAGAAAGACTGCAAGTTGGCAGACACTGTGATCAGAGGACTTTTGAAGTACTGGCCAGTAACCAAT